TTTTTTTTCAATAAGTTGATTACATCTCAACCTTAAATTCACTGTTTTTTATTTCTGTTTAATTTAATGAGACAATTTCTGTTACAGAATTCTAAATTATGCATTTTTTTCCATGTTAGGGTACTGGGATGCTAGGGGGTTCTTTTTATTCTCTTTTCCGCTGCATATTATAACTTAGATGGATATGCTTCAAGAAGGTTGGTTTTATTCTTGAAGAATACCCATTTGGTTTTAGACATAGTTTATTTAGTTAAATATATGGCTACTGGTGAAATGGATTAGCCAAATATTGCATATTACATATGCATACAAATTCTTAGTATTGTTGTAAACAGTCAGTTTAAGTGGAGGATTGTTGTATGAAATTTGGTAAACAAATATCTAGAAATTATCTTCACAGTTTCTTAGGTTCCATTTAATTTGGTATTTGTTTTTGTGTGATATATTTCTCTTAGGGCATGTCAAATGGTAAAGCTGCAATTAACAGTGTCTTTTTTGTGTTGCAGTTCCACCAGTACCAGGTTGTTGGGAGGAAGCTCCCTATGGCATCTGATGAGCACCCCAAGATTTACCAAATGAAGCTCTGGGCCACCAATGAGGTTCGCGCCAAGTCGAAGTTCTGGTATAATCCTTAGCCTTAGCTCGGCTTTTGTGATCCCAAATATACAGTGGGGAATTTTGGGTTAAACTTAATATTGTTGATTGATTTGTTTGGATTAAGTATTTCCTGAGGAAGCTGAAGAAGGTCAAGAAGAGCAATGGCCAAGTGCTTGCCATTAATGAGGTTTGTTCTCTCAGCTGTATATTTTATTTTTTCTAATTAATAAATTTGTACCCATTTTGATTATTTGTCAGTGTCTAATGTAGACAATGTTGTTTTGCGGTGGGGAAGTGGTTCCTCCTCAACTCTCCTCCTGGCAAAATCCAATTTGTTGCCAAAGGTCTCCACTTTTGACCCCAAAGCGTCGCTCTTTTATCAAATTTATTTCGCTTTTTTCTAATTTTGTTTTGATCATTTGAATCGTATTTTGTATTTGATGTTTGGCTTTGGTAGCAGATGTGAAGGAGGCTGCGTCAGAGGCACCCCCTCAAAACGACCAGTCGAATTGGAGACGTATGTTTTCTTTTCTTTTTTTCTGTTTTTTTTTCCCTTCAAAATTGGAGCCTCCACTTTGCTGAATAAAGGCTCCTCTTGGCTTTAGTGTTTCGTTTTGATGAATTTTGGGCTCTCACATGTGTCTGCGAAATTGCAAACCTTTCTTTTGTATTGGGGTTCCAGTTTTCCAAAATCAGTTCTCCCTAAGGTGATAAGTTTTTCCTCTCTTTTTTAATTTTTACTTTGAGGTCTCTGTCCAAAACAATTTTTTTTTCATAGTACGTTTTATGCAATGTACATATATATTATAGGAATGAATCTGAGTTATCTCCTCTGTTCAAGAAGGCAAATACATAGGTAAATACATAGCTTTAATTACCTCCTCTGTGCAATTGGGTTTGGCCAATATCCCAACCCAGAAGAAGTTGTTCAAGAAGTTCATAGGGAAATACGTAGCTTTAATTACCTCCTCTGTTTTCTTCTCTTTCTCAGCCTTTTGTAGATCTGAGTTATCAATCTTTACTTTTTTCCCTTTATTTTTCAGGAAGGTTTATGCCTCTTTGGCAAGAAGGCAAATGCTGCAAGGAACCCAAAAATACCAGGACTCTTCATGCCTAACAGAAACCCAATAGATGACTGTTGGGAATGTGACTCAAATTGGCCAAACAACAGGCAGAGCTTAGCAGATTGTGCAATTGGGTTTTGGCCAATATGCTCTTGGAGGCAAAGGTGGTGAGTATTATATTGTCAGACTCTTCTAATGATGATGCTGTGAATCCAAGGCCAAACACTCAGATATGCTGTGATACAGACTGAGCCTCTCTGGATTGTGTTCCCTGGCAACATGCTCATCAAGCTCTCCCAAGAGCTTATCTTCAACAGCTACAAGACCCTTGATCGCCGTGGCGCCAATGTCCACATTGTGGGCGGTGGTTGCATCACATTGCAGTTCATAAGCAATGTTATCAACCACAATGTGCATATCCGCCACTGTTATCCGTCAGGTACATGAGTTTTCCACTTCATTTTATGAATTTTTATTTACCATATACGCATGGGTTGCTCATAGTCATGTTTATTCAGATTTACTTGATACATTTAATTTATGAATGATTGCAAATATTTAGTTTTATCTAATACATGTGACTTGTAAATAAGAGATTGCGCGTATCTAGATTTACTTCAGATTTACCTTAAAACCCTTTGCCGGGTTGTTTTTGCTTTTACTCAAAAATAATTTCGATGTATGCTCTTGGAATTAGCTCAAGTAGCGGAGAAAGTGTTTGTTAAAAATTGGTTAGGATCAGAATAAGTTAAGATTTTGATCCATTCCATGCAGGTGACGCTAATGTGCTTTCAAGCCCACCCCACTACTGCTACGGCACAAAATTAGACGGATTTTGACTGGTAAAGGTATTGTCAAGGAAATTAACCTTTTAGACTTTATTTACTCTGTTTAAAGGGAAGATTTGAATGACTGATGAAACAGAGAATATGATTATATGTCAAATATTATATTGTTGTTTTTCAAATAGCATTCGTCTTCGCTCCTATCCATATATATAATGACAAATAGCATATTTGGATAATCAAATTTGTTCTTTTTCTTCCTTTTCAAAGTTACTAGGTTTAATTGTAACCGAAAAGAAAGTTACTAGGTTTAATTTGTGCTTGCACACAATTTATAATTTATTATCCATTTAGCTTAACAAACTTATTAGTGGCACTCTCTGCATATTTTCAGGATTGATACTCAATCAAATAAAAGGCGATTTCAATCCCTCTTTCGTGTATGAGCCCTCATAAAGATGACATTTATATGCTTTTGTTGAAGTACTTTACGAAATATTCATTACATTTTTGCGTTGTTTTACCCCACATTGTATTTCAGTATCTTCTTGAGCATGTTGCTTTGGAGCCCAAACGGTTGAATAAAATCCCTGTAGATCAGGAGTTCATGCTTTATTTTTAAAACTTTTGCAGGGTACTTTTTACTTGATGTGGATAACTATCATTCTAGCCATGACATTGATTGAGGAGCCAATGCGTTGATTCATGCAGTTGGAAAACTCGGGAGCTTCTTAAGGCAATTTCCTCTTTTTCCAAATGCTTTTCTGGTTGGTGGTGCAGAAGACTTCTTTATTATTGAACTTGCAGTTCAGGTAAATTTTGAAGCACTCTGTGCTACAAGTACTTTTGTTGAGTTTTTGTTCTCGCATTGCATTGAATGAGGTCGATATTTCTTTACTGGTCAGCTTCAAAAACTGAAGGTGGAACCAGCACATAAAACTTCTCCAGGTAATATTCTAACCAATTTTTAGGTTTAAGATTTAAGGAATCATGTGAACCTGGTATTATGGTGGCTTCGGATTATTGGCTTATTTATTTTGGTGCTAATTAATTAAACTCAATTTATTTGTGCCTAATGAACCACAACTGTAATAATTTTAGTTGTAATATATGTGTTTGTGTGCCTATTTGTTTTTTGTTATATAAGCAGACCGCTGTCTTGCATTCTACATGCTGAGGCTGATAGATAATTTTGATGAATTAGAACTTTATGATAACTTATATGTGGGATTTGAAAATCTGACTTCATGTGGGTTTGATATACCAAGCAGATTTTTGCTGATTTTTGCATTGAATGAAGACTTAAGAAACTCAATTACATACATTTTCCCTGTGGTATCTTTCCGTACAGATTTTGCTCAAGCTAATTTTTTGGTTTAATGAAAAGATTGTGCATGCATAAAATACTCAAGCTAATTTCTTCTCTGATTTTTCTGTTTTTTCTTCCTTTTTCTTATTTTTTTTAAAGCCATGTTTTCTTTTGATATTTTGCAGGTGGTCTTTCGTTGCTTCGGATAGAGCGGTTTGGTTAGTGTTTTTAGTTCTGTTAAGCAAGGGGTGAGTTTCTAGGGTGAAATTTCAATTAATTGTTTTAAGTTTTGTGAATAGAGCATAGGAATTAGCTGATGACATCAATTGACAATTGGTTGGTGTTAATTTGTTGTTGTAATGATAGGTTTAGATGATTACAATATTTGAACATGTTGGTAAATCCTTTTGAGTGTTTTGGCAATTGGGTAGTTGATATGTTCACTGTCTATTTTCATCGCTTGATACACATTTCATGCAATTTTAAAACCCGCAGCATCGCGCGGTCATCTTTTGCTAGTAAACCCTAAAGCCTATTTTTCTTCTTCTCATCCTTCTTCTGCATCTGGACCCTGAGCTCAGTAAGCTACTCGTTCTTCTCTTCATTATCCCTCTTCATCTTCTGCATCTCGTCCCTGAGCTCAGTAAGCTCTTCCTTATGCCTCTTCATCTGTCACAAAAAATACGAGTTAAATTTTTTTTTTAATTGAAATAAAATGAAGTGCAAAAACCAACCTCCTCAATATCTTGTGACCGATACTCGCTTAGTTTCTTTTCAAACACTCTGACTTCCTCCTTCAGCTCGGCAGACTTGGCCTGATTCTTAAAAGAATCCAAAGCTGCTGCTGCAGCACACCCCACCCCAAGAGTACCGACTGTATAAACAGCCTTAGTTGTGCCTACAGCGGCGTCGATGGTTCCATGTACATTTTTGAATTTATCAAAAGTGATTTGAGGTATTGCTGGTGGTTTGTTTAGGACCCTTTTGAAAACAGCCTCAAATCACTAAAAATGTATTTGGAACTATCGATGCCGCTGTAGGCACAACTAAGGCTGTTTATACAGTCGGTACTCTTGGGGTGGGGTGTGCTGCAGCAGCAGCTTTGGATTCTTTTAAGAATCAGGCCAAGTCTGCCGAGCTGAAGGAGGAAGTCAGAGTGTTTGAAAAGAAACTAAGCGAGTATCGGTCACAAGATATTGAGGAGGTTGGTTTTTGCACTTCATTTTATTTCAATTAAAAAAAAAATTTAACTCGTATTTTTTGTGACAGATGAAGAGGCATAAGGAAGAGCTTACTGAGCTCAGGGACGAGATGCAGAAGATGAAGAGGGGGATAATGAAGAGAAGAACGAGCAGCTTACTGAGCTCAAGGTCCAGATGCAGAAGATGAAGAGGGATAATGAAGAGAAGAACGAGTAGCTTACTGAGCTCAGGGTCCAGATGCAGAAGAAGGATGAGAAGAAGAAAAATAGGCTTTAGGGTTTACTAGCAAAAGATGCCCGCGCAATGCTGCGAGTTTTAAAATTGCATGAAATGTGTATCAAGCGATGAAAATAGACAGTGAACATATTAACTACCCAATTGCCAAAACACTCAAAAGAAGTGCTGCTAACAATGGAGCAAAATAAGATTAGAGAAAAACTTAGGGAAATAATGGAGGTACACCAGATCATGATATTAATTAATTATCCCCTTGTATATCTTAATTGCACACTTAATCTAGCTTTGGCTGCTTTAAATATAATATTATGTTAAAAAAGTTTGGACCTTTTAATTTTTATTAATTGGTTTCATGGTTCAACTTGATTATGGCTGCTTTAAATAATATTATAGCATTTATTGTCGCACCTGTATGCATAATCAAATTTTTTAACATATGCCATTCTTAACACTGTCTGTAAATAATCAATATGATTAAGCTAGCATGGAACATGTTTGATGGATATTGAGGTTAAAATATTAATGCAGGAACAAATTGGGATGCTGAAATCAAGCAAGGAAGAACCACTAAGTATCTCAGAAGCACCACCGCCATCAGACACTGATCAAAGAGCAGCAACAAAATCAAAGGGTGGGGAGCAAGAAGAAGAAGAAGATAAGCTTGAAGGAGGAGACAATAATGCAGCAGCCAGAGCAACTCATGAGGACAAGGCAGCCAAAATACAGAAACTGAGGAGTGGTTTCAGGATATGCAGACCACAAGGGTCCTTTCTGTGGCCAAACATGGGCATCTCTACCCCACCCTCAGCCACCCACCTCATCCCTATACCTCCTCAGCCTCAGCCTCAGCCTGGGTCTCCTGTCAAGCCTGCCTGTAGCTGAGAGGCTTTATGCAATGTGAGCTATAAACCCTCTGCCTCTCCTCCTATTTTTCTTCCACCTGGGGCCCCCCTCCAATTCCAAGAGAAGTGTCACCGTCACCAACACACTCCTCATCAACCTTAAGAGAATTCATTTCTTACATTTGAGGTTCTAAGGTTTGATTATTTTTTTTTACTTAATATCGCTTGTGTATAAATAAAAATAAACTATGTAATACATAATTTGCTCATTGTTTTTGCATTGGTTGTATTTTATTGTTTATATTTTTTTCTTTTTTCTTTGTAAAAACCCTCCTCTAAAGCAGTGTTCTTCATGTGTAATCTTGTAATTACCTTCCATATGAATGGATCTACTATGTTCTATAATATATATAAACTATGTAATACGTAAATTTTTTATTTATTTAATTGGAGACTATGAATGTACTTTATTTACCTTGATGAATTATGATGAAAATGTTTTGATATTCTTATAGTTTGAAAATGTGTCATGTCTCAAAAGGTAAGGGGCCAGAGCTTAGCCCAATAGATCCAAATAACTGAAAGAGGAGCCCAACATCAAAATGACATTAGAACTTCTATATCTATACATATCCTAGTGTAATGTGAATTTTGTATCATTACAATTTACAATACAACTGCACCAAGGCGCTTTTATCTTAGCGTCCTTGCTAAAATCCCCCACAAGTCTCCTCCAAAACCAGTGCTCCAACCACACCATCTCCATCTTCTCAATAGGCACGTTCTTCGTCTCTGGCAAAAACAAGTAGACGAACACGGTCATCACCATCACCCAACCCCCAAAAAAGAAGAAAATCCCGGACTTGAAGTGGCAAAGCATTGCTAGAAAAGTTTGAGCAACAATGAAAGTGAACAAAAAATTCACAACTACATTGATGCTTTGCCCGGCTGATCGAATTTCCAATGGGAAAATCTCACTAGGCACCAGCCATCCAAGAGGCCCCCATGACCACCCAAATCCTGCTACATATATGCATATCAACATTTGAATTCCCCCTACCATGAACAAAGCTCTTCTCCCAAATTTGTCCACTATGAGCATAGATATGAAGGTTGAGATTGTACCAACTACGCCGGTCATGACAGCAGACAAAAGCGATGCGCTTTCTCCCAAACCAATTGTTCGAAAAAGAATCGGGGCATAAAAGGCTATGACATTGATCCCTGTCACTTGCTGGAAAAATGGTATGGCTATTGCCATGACAAGTTGAGGCCTATACTTTCTCTCTAAGATTTTCTTGAAAGGGTATTTGATAGTTTTCGATACGTTGTTTGCTTTGATGAGATCATCAAGCTCTGCTTCTACATCATCGATGCCTCTGATGCGCTGCAACATTTGCTTGGCCCTTTGGTGGTCTGTGCTGCGCTGAATGAGACTGTTTGGTGTTTCAGGAAGGAAAAATGCACCAAGTGTTAGCATTGAGGCAGGGACTGCCGCCATGGCTAGGGAGATTCGCCAACCCCAACCGGCTTTGATCTTTTCAGTGCCGTAGTTGATGAGGTTAGCGGACAGAGCACCAATGCCGACACTAAATTGGAAGCCATTGTTAATTGCTCCTCTGTGTTTTGCTGGTGCCATTTCCGAAAGATACAAAGGAACAGCCTGCACAAAACAAATAGATTATGCAACAAAGTAACAAGAAAAAACCTGCATTTGGTTTAGGGGCAAAAAAATGGGAAAATCTCACTTGGGATCAGCCACCCTAGTGGGCCCCATGACCAAGCAAACCCAGCTACATACACACACACAAAGATCAGCACCAAATATGCATACCCTTTGCTTATTCCACCTTTGTCACCTAGCTCAGCTGCCATTATGCTCCCTACTATAACTTGTGACACAAACATTTGAATGCCCCCAATTGCAAACAGAGTTCTTCTGCCTAGTTTGCCCACCATAAGCATTGATACAAATGTCGCGCAGGTGCCTACCATGCCGGCGCTCATCACAGCTGACAAGAGTGACATGCTTTCACTTAGACCAAGTGTTCTAAATAGTACTGGCGCATAAAATGAGATGACATTGATCCCAGTCACTTGTGTAAAGAATGGCATGGCAATTGCCATGACAAGTTGAGGCCTATACTTTCTTTGCATCAATTTCTTAAAAGGGTGTTTGATGGTTTTTGAATTTTCACTTGCTTTGATGAGATCATCCAGTTCTGCTTGGACATCTTCGCATCCTCGTGTTCGTTGTAGCATTGACTCTGCTTTTTGGTGGTCGCTGGAGCGTTGGATTAAGCTGTTGGGTGTTTCTGGCAGTAAAAGAGCACCGAGAGTTAGTATTGAGGCTGGGACTGCTGCCAAGGATAGGGAGATTCGCCACCCCCAGCCGCCTGTGATCTTTTCAGCACCGAAGTTGATGAGGTTAGCTGATAATACTCCAATGGCAACACATAATTGGAAGCCAATGTTGAAAGCTCCTGTGTGTCTAGGTAGTGCCATTTCTGAGAGATAAAGTGGGACTGACTGCAAGGATGTTTGATTGTGTGGAACCAAATGTTATCACACATAACATTATTAAAATGTATATAAAATAAACAATGGAAAATTTTGTCTGCCATGGCATCCTATGTTGCAAGAATTTTGTTTAACAAAATAACAAGTCAGATGTATGACAATAGAACATTACCCTATAGACTAGTCTTAAGTTAAAAAAGGAAAAAAAAAGGTTCAAATATGGAGCATAATACCTGGTTTGCAAAGCCAACCCCAACACCAAGCAAGATACGACCAGATATTAGCATGAAGACATTAGTAGCTGCACCGCCTAAGGCCGAACCAGCAAGGAATGAGGCACCAGCTACAAGGATTGAAGGGTTTCGGCCGAAGGTTCTGGTGACTGAAGAGGCAAAGAAGGAAGCTACAAGGCCAGCTATATAGAGTGAGGATGTAAATGCTGTTAAAAGTTGGCTATCAAATTTGCAGTAGTTGCTGGTTTTGGTATCTTCTTTCATCTTAGTGTGCACTTCTGGGAAAAATTTCTTGAGAAACGGCTCCATTGAAGTCACTCCACCTTCATGAATTAATCAGGATTAGTACTTGAATAATAATTTAATGATTTTTTTAATTTTTTATATAGATTATTATAAATAAACTCAATCCTAGACATGTATTTATAAAAAAACCCACACACTATTTAAACATAGAAACACACCCAAAATCAACAATTGTATATTTTTTGGGTGTGTTTATAAATGGGTTTTGAGTGTGTGTAATGATGGGTTTTGGGTGTGTTTATAAAGTGTTTTGGGTGTTGGGTTTTTTTATAATTTCAGCCCCTATTTTGGGTGTTTTAGTAAAACTCCCTTTTTTATATTTATTTTTGGCAAGTATTACAAGAACTAATTCAATATATATGTGTTACTAGAGAAGCTCACTGACCTGAAATCCCAATATCATAGCCATAAATAATGCCTCCCATGGCAGCAACCATACAAGATAGCACAACAAGCAGGGTCATCTTGCCAATGTAATGCTCATCTTTGCTTGTTGTTATTCCTAACTCAGCTGCTGCCATGGCTTTTCTTCTTTCAAGCTAATGCACCGGTGTGGAAAAAAGAGAGAGTACATCTTGGTAAGATAGAGTTTGTAAGGATATAGATTGACAATATGAACAGCAGTCAATTTATCAGTATGCCTCGGTGTGGAATGTTCAAACTAAAATATCGCTTAATTTTGGACTTCATTGATTGAAGCATAAAGCAAAATACAATCCAAGAAGAATAAAAACAAAATAACATTAAGAAAAACACAATAGTCCAAGACTAACAATTCACAAATCATTTAGCCTTTGTTGGTCTCCATTGGGCCGACTAGTTGATATTTTGGGATTTTTTTGAATTAAGGCTTGATATTCACAAATCATTGAGCATGGAGAGAATTGTTATTCAATTGGCCGAAGAGGAGACCCAAATTTGTTGGGCCACTTTAAAATAATAATTGAAAAGACAATGATACCATTTTTCTTAAAAAGTCCGGCCCAATTTTAATTATATTATAGTAAAAGAAAGTACCATATTTTGGCTTTTGGCTTTATCCTAATTAGCTGAAATTGAATTCTTATTTACCTAAATAGTAAACTATATTGTGTGTGAAAACTAAAGCTCCCTAATCTAAATGAGAGCAAAATCGGAAAGTCCGGAAAATATTTTAGGATTTGGGTGTGGTGATAGATTTATGGGTGTCAATTTGACCTCTCCAACTACCAACTAATCGGCCCAATGGAGACCGACAAAGGCTAAAAGATAAATATAGCCCAACAGAAAGACAACAACACAAACCCCAAGCCCAATAAAACTCCCAAAGAGTCTGAGAGAAACAAAACATAAACTAGTAAACAAACAGAAATAACGGCCACAAACAAGCACGTATGAAACAAAAAGGAAGCAAAAATCACAGTCAACACTATTTGTATAAAATAAAATAAAAACAAAAGAAGTTACCGATTGTACTTCTCAATGAAAAGGGAAGTCAATCAATCACAATCAGTCTCTATATACTCAATCTCAAGAAATGTAATGAGTAAGAAAGTCCTTATTAATTGTACAATATAATATAAAATAAATAAACAAATTATGGAATAAATCAAAACAGACTTTTTTAGCTACAAAAAGAAGAAGGAAAAACCCTCAACCTTCTCAGTTCATAACCCAACGAAAGCAATTTTTTTTGGGTGATTCTCCTTTTCTTTGAACTGAAGCAATTTATTTATTTTTGGTGATTCTCCTCTTCTCCAACATAGAGTTGGAAAATAAATCATCCACAAGCTAGACTAGTGCCTTTTTTTGAAGGTAATTTTTTTTT